TGGTAGAAACCCGGGTGAAATAGCCAAAAAATAATAATAATAATAAAACCGGGGAAAATGAAAAAAAGTGTCCTTAAATAGCACTCCCACAACACACCAGCCGACCCAAATTGCTGGTGGGCAGACTCATCACATTCGTGATGAGTCTCCTCTCACACTTGTATTTGAAATTCCAAATCACAAATCATTTAATCACGAGAGGAAAAAAAACGGGAAAAAACGTGTTCATAAAAAAAAACATAGGACACACGGGGACAAGTAGAAAATTAATTATGAGAGAAATAAGGGACACACCAAAGATGCAGGCCTGCAGGCAGACCCCTCCCCACATTTGTGGAATTACAGCTTCCAGTTTGTGTTCGGGCGGCAGACAGCCTATCCAGACGCCTGATAAAGCTTAGGCCTAAAAATAACAATAGAATTCATTGACGTAGACACGTTGTTGCCTCTTCACCTATAACATTTTAGTTCTTACTCTTTCAATTACAACATTAGAGTTTCTATATTTATTAACTTTATCCAAACACTTTCCCCATCGACGCTCTCGAGGTTCTTATAGAGGGTAACAGGTTGCAGAGAGGCCTATTCCGGCTCCGGGCAGTGTGGAACGAAATACTTACCTCTAAGCCAATTCCAAATTCAGGTTCAGTGGTGGACCTTTCTCCCAAAAGTGCCTCTCCACCTCTGTTTTCTTACTTCTTAGCTTGCTACCCTTTTCCCTCAACTATCCTAAGGGAGTTCCATGGTAAAAAAAAAACAAGACATAATAGTTTAGCTGCTATAGCTTAGACTGTCGGGGACACACCTTACTTCGTTTTCTGTCTGTTTGTCTGTGTAGCCTCTCCATGTTCCATTATCTAAAACAGCTTCTCAACCAATCTCTTTTTTGTGTCTTACATATAAAAAGAAAAAGCTGATCCTGTTGGCTGTGGTCATCAAGGATCCTCTATCTGAGTACGGATTCTTGAGTCCTGGACTAATGAGTTCGTGCTGAACCTGTCTCTGCCCGGTCCTGCCTGCACTCTCACCCATAAAAAACTACTTCCCTGATGGCTCCCACAAGGATTGTTGACATCCTCGTGGATTCATCTTCTATTATAGACAAGTGCATTCCAAACAATTTAATCTAATATTATCCACATAATACAACACGATAAGAATATTAACACATAATATAATACGAATCTAATATGACCATCTGGTCAAATGATACGGGATCCCTCCTCTGTTGCTCTCCCTGAGGTTTCTCCCATTTTCCCCTTTAAACTGTGGGGCTTTCTGAGAGCGCGTTCACGTGAAAGGGGCGGGGTTAGCAACATTTGACCAACCACAAACAGGGACAAGCGTACTGACAGTGCAGCGTGAATGAAAAGTAAACTATCACGTTAGACAAATATGAAGAAGTTAAACTTTAAACATCCATGACTTAAACCAGGATAAAAGCAACATAGTTGCAGCTGCAAGGTGAATACAGAACAGCTTGTGAAAATAAAAATAAACCTACCTAATACATTAAGGTTTATGATATCACGTGTTGCTTAAAGGGGACCTATCATGCAAAATGCACTTTTGTACGTCTTTTATACATGAATATGTGTCCCCGGTATGTCAGGGAACTCACCAAGTGTCAGAAAACACAACGGTCTTTCTTTGCCTCCATACCCAAATCTCTAAAAACGGGACTGGAACGGATCTGATACAGACTGATACAGATAGTACAAATAGTCTGACGTCAGTGACGAGGAGCTCCGCCTATATGGCCAACTCTCCACCAATCAGAGGAATGAGAGGTTGCCGTGGCATGGTAACAGCATGGTAACAGCATGGTAACATGACGCTTGTAACTCGGCCCCCTCCTCTGCAGGGGGGCGTGGTCAGCTGCTGCGCATGCAAAGACAGGGTGGAGGTGAGGAAAATAGAGCAAAATGAGGCATGGCTAAAATGCATGATCTGTTTGGTATTTAAAAAAAAAAAAATGTATAAATATACATTATCAGGTATGGCCCTACAATATATGATTCAAATATAGCATGATAGGTCTCCTTTAAAATAATACTTTGGCATACAGTATGTGACAATGTAAGTGTTGCACGGCCAGATACGGTTCAAAAAGCTGACTCAGATAAGGAAATATATGATATATTATGATATTATATGATCGATGATGTGATATGAATGATGCGTGCGACACCTCGGAGTCTTCCCTGCATATGGCAGTTTAAACTGTAGTTCCTTTATCCTGTAATATGACTTGATAGCTTTAAACTCCCCACACTGCGCTCTGATTGGTCAGCAAGTGGTGCTTTCACTGAGTTGATCTCTTATCTTGAACCGGAGCAGGTTTGGTGTTCAGCATAAGTTACCATGGAGATCTACCCCGGTAAGAAGTGAACCAGCGTCGTAGGACCGGAAAACCAGAGTTAACCCTGAAGTTACCTCGCTAACCGAAAATCCTGTTTCGTAGTACAGGGCACTGGCCTAATTTGGTGTCGCACCTGGTGTTATCCTATCATTAGATGGTCTTAACTCTGAATTATTGCCTATACGTAATCAAAATAAAGAAGGAAATAACAAAGAAAATCTTGCATTATACTGCGTTGTTGTATGTAGTCAATTAAAATGCTCAATGCGAAGTGCTGAGAACACTATTTTTTTTTTTTATGTATATAATATTTTTGAGAAAAGAAGATGGGAAATTCTCATCCGGCTTTAATCATTATTTTTTCACATAATGTGTTTTCCCCAAGGAAAAATTCCATCTACTGTTGTTTATTTATATTAATTTAATTTTAGCATTTTTGGCAGCATGTTTGTATGAAAGGTGCTATTTAATGAAGCTTAAAGGATAAGTTAGAGGTCAAGACATGTGATGACAACATAAATAGCGAGCTGGAGGTGGACTGCTGCAGGCAGAGGATGCAGAAGCTGTTCATCAGCGTTAGAGAAAGCTCTTTGGTAAGCCATTGTCTAATTAAGAGGTGATTGGCTCAGAGGCCGGTGTATATAACAGAAACTAGGTCTTGTTAGCCATAATACGTAAGAGCAGCAAGACAGCATGAACTCTCTGCTGATCCTCTGAACCACAGGCCAGGAGGGGAGACCGTGTTGCCTAGTAACAGACAAAATGCTTATTCTTCAGTTCTCTGAGCCGTCTATACAACGTCACCTTCAGACTGATTCTAATAAAATACACTCTGTAGTTCCTCTCAGAAATCTCATTAACATAATATTATTTCTATATTTACAGTTTACGAGTCTATCATTTGTTTGGTTTGTGTCACATGTTTCTGCCTCGTTCTCCTCTCAATGAGGTGACATAAGTGTGGGTTAAGAGGACAAGGACTCATCGTTTTTTCTTGATGCAGGTTTAGAAGCTGTGTTGTTTGAAATCACATGTTGTAAAAGCTTTCACGTCCTACAGCAAAAAGGGCATTTTCTCCTAACAGTTTATTCATGTCATCCCTTTTTCCACCCCTGGTTCTGTGTAAAGGTAATGACCGAGAGTGGCCCGCATTTAGGTGGCTTCTTAAGATTTCCAGGACACCAGAGGATTTACTTAGTAATCCGCTCTTCAGCTGGTCAAAGCTAGCAGTCGACTGTTTTTTCCCGTGTGATACACTGCGTTATTTCGACAGTACTATTCCTGTGTTTTTAACCGTGTCTGACCACCACTGCAGGATCACTGTGCAGGCTTTCATTTATTCAACATTTATTTAAACTATATTCAAAACAAGGTCTCCAATTCTCTATATTTCCAAGTATAAACAAAGATTTGCAGGCACCAAGACACACACAAAAGAAAAATGTAATAAATAAATCAAATAAAACAACTGGACGTGAAACTGGATTAAATAAAAACATTTGAATTGCAAGGATAAAAAAAAAATGAGGTAAACTTTATATTGTTCTGCATGTGATTGCATGTTGTCGATAAAAATAAAATAAAAAAATTATATAAAATAAAAGAATAATAATACAAATATATAATGATGCAACTAATATGGGGACTGCAAGACTGTTAACTGAAATACATTTAAGTGTCTTAAATGAAATTTAAAATTACATTATGGAAAAAAAACATTATATGTTATATATTTGTATTATTATTATTTCTATTAATTTATGAATACTAACTATCCCTGCAAAAAATATTGTATTCAATAATGAATGGAAAAACCACGAAATTAATCGTCAACAGTTATAATAAGTGAAAGTAATAAATAAATAATAAATCACTTGCAAAATAAAGAAATGTGATCATTTGCTAATTTTCCTCAATATTATATCATGCATTAAATACATTTTATCCAATTATCCTTGGAAAATTTCATAAACCTTACACTTTAAATAAAGGTATAAAGGTTTGAACAAAGTTTTGATGCACAGCACGGGTAATAACCAATCGCAGTTTAGTTTTAAGAGGTTAAAATACCACAATATAATTTCCTTTATACACATTGTTTACATCTTCTTTAACTTCCTGTAGATGATTGCATTAATTATTGTTGTTGCTATTGTTTACATTCATTGTGATGCAAATAACGCAATAAAGGTTGCAATGCTTTTGTTTTGTTTGGTTACTCACATCTGTATGATGTAGCATAATGGACCGAGCCACAGTTCATTTTAGTTGTGGCTTGGTATGTGTTCTTTTATTCGAATTCTCTGTCTATCTGTTGACAGGGCAGTGCCTTATAAAACATAATACATAGTATAAGCTCCAGTCTCAATCTATTAGCATTGGTATCTGGTTCATAATACCTGTTGAGCCCTGTTTTTAGAGCTTCCTGTCCCTCACTGTGTGTATCACTGAGCAGCTCCAGCTCCATGGCAACTAAGTGCTTCTTAGCGACATGACATTAGGGCCTGTCTGAATCACTTGGCCTGCAGGCTGGATGGCTAGCCTCCAAGGGGCTTCCGTGACAACAGCAGGAGGACACCGCCCCCCGAAAACACTCAGTTAACAATCACACACACACATCTTCCCGGTCCTCCTTTACTCCAAGGAGGAATAGACGCTGGCCTGGTTCTGCTCCGAGCGCCTGGAGGCAGGAGCACGGTCCTGCCGGGCAGCAGCTGCTGTTTGCGTACCAACACCGGAAACAACAGACGGGCCGGCGGGCCTGAAGGACGGAGCGTGCCTTGTGCCTTCAGCTGGACAAACAGTGCATCCGTCTCTATATTTACCTTGAATTCACTTCTTAACTGTCACAACCAAACAAACCTTGTTCAAAGTACATAAGTGTGAACATTATTTGATTGTAAACCCAGTTTTCTTTTTTTTTAATTGGAGGGATGAAATCCTCTTTAAAGGTCACCTATTATGCAAAATCCACTTTTTCATGTCTTTTATACAAAGATGCAGTGGCGTTTTTATATGTACAAAAGTGGTGGGGCACAAAAAACGTAGATGTCTATATATAAGCTTCTGCAGTGAGGTTCATGGCTGGTGAGGCACTGCACTGACTCTTCGGGTTTACAAATATTATATTTTGACCTAAATCAAAATATAATATTATTTTCAAAAGCTTTTTTTGTCTGATGCTTCAATTAATTTTAAACAGACAGTTCAACAAAAGGATACCTAAAAAATGTAATTTTATCATTTAAATATTGGATTGTTCTCTCTTAGTAAGATCCCATTTTCAATAAAATTGCGGTCTTACATTGACTTGAAGATGAAGTCCATTTGCCTATCCTTCTGGACAAAAATCTCTATTACTTTTTTGTAAAAGTCCTCCTTATCTTCTTGTAGTTTCAAAAGTCTATCATAAATCTAATCGATAGATTTATGATTCGAAAATTATAAAAGTAGGGTAGACATGTGGATATTATCCGGCTGAACAAAACGTGCATTTATCTAACAGGTACGTTTCCCACAGATCTTATTTTGAGCTATTTTCTAAAATCCTATGGAGAAATCTCATTGCTTTTTTGTGGAGGGAACCCATGCGCAGCTTACTTTCTGGTTTTAGGACGCGTCTCTCGTCTCCTCTTCACACACCACAATTTTTTGCGGCACACGTACTTACAGCCAATTAGCTCTGAATTATTTGAGATGACGTATGGTGGGGATGGCAGCTCAGTGCCCCTATGGTCATTATTTTTTGCCACACACATTGAGGCCCATTCCCAAACCGCCCCCTACACCCTACCCCTCCATTTGTGCGTTCACGCGGAGGGTCCGCCATATTGAGGAGGGCTGTTCCGAAGCAACGAGTGTGGAGCGGTATGGAGGCTCCATACCGCTCCACACTCGTTGCTTCGGAACAGCCCTCCTCAATATGGCGGACCCTCCGCGTGAACGCACAAATGGAGGGGTAGGGTGTAGGGGGCGNTGTTTTATTTGTATTCAATGTTACAAACCAAAATGACCACGTTCAAGTCTTAAAGTCATCCTGAGGCCTTAGTTTTGGTTTCAAATGACACAACATCATGTATGTGTTGCTTCTTTGGGGCTTGTTTTCATAGACCTGGTTGCTTATTTCTCTCAAATCTGGCAACAGAGTGGGCAGGGCGCAGTGTCTAATTGTAGCAGTAAGCTAACGAGTACTGAAAGCTTTATTTTGTTTTTGGTCCAATGCTGCACAACTGAACTGATCCAATGCTGCTGTGAAAGAAAGAAGCTATATCCATGTTGGATAGAATATCCAATTTAAATAAAAAAATAACCTTAAGGGACAACTTGAATGCTTTTTTTTTCTCTTAATGCATTGCATAAAGATCGGATCGGGAAAAATCGGTATCGGCAAATTGTCAAAATCAAATGATCGGAATCGGATCGGGAGCAAAAAAAGGTGATCGGGACATCCCTAGTAATAATGACTATCCAATGTAGCGGTGCGAGAACCCATACAAGCTCAAATGTAGGGATTCCTACCTTCCTGGTCTGCATCTTCTCCGTCCGTCGGCGGAAGGCCACGTAGGGGTCGCTGGTGCTGGAGCCGTCCCTCTTCTCCCCCTTGCAGGTGGGGATGAGGGACCCCCCCGTGCAGGTTTTCCTCTTGCGGCTCCAGTAGTCGAACACCTCCTTGATCAGCTCATCGTCCTCCTTCAGCAGCAGCTTGGCCTCCTGGAGACTGACGAGCTGCGGGGCAACAGAAGAGAGACAGAGCGATTAAAATGTAACAAGTCCTCTTGGGATGCATGGAGAAGAATACAGTGAGACCAAACCACAGAGAGAAGCCAGGGGTTTTAAGCAACTTTAAGTCCATTTAACAGCAATGAACATGACAAAACACAGATGTTTAGCAAGTCTAGTAAACTTCTACTTCTAAGTTTGACAGATGTATGATTTTGAGTATTCAGAGAATGCAATACCTTGTTGTGTAAAAAGTGTTTGAAACTATTTATGAAACCAAAGATCAAGGCTATGACCCACCTTTGGATTGACTAAATGACAGGGTGAGAACCAGTATTTCAGTCTGTGTAAGTAAAGCCAGAGATGCAAACAACATGCAAACAAGTGTTTTCTTCCCACACAGACTGATAAATACCTGCTGTCCGCTGCCTTTCTCCAGGCGGTCTATCATTTCCTCAAACTGTAGGGCTGTGATTTCCATTTTCTTCTTCAGCTTATTCACAAACGTCTCGTCCTCTGAATCCAGGTCGTAGTCTGGCTGCTCCGCATCCAAACTGAAAGCTGTGGGACGGAGAAGGGCTGGTTACTGAAGAGACAGACACTCATTTAAAAAAGGCATCACCAGGAACACAGCAACCTCAAGTAGACACAGCATTGCTTCTGTTCAAACTTTATTACCCAGTAATCAAGTCACTATGATAATTGCAATTAAGTTATTTTTCCACGTTGTGCAGCCCTTTCAAAAGTATTAGTGATATATTTCCACGTCATGGTTATTATGCATAGTCATACAATTAGGCAGCAGTGCATTTCAGGCAATAAACAAGTCACTGTGTTTGTTAAATAAACAAACACACGCTTTTCTATGGCAGAGCACTGAGCTTGTGTTTGTTTATGTGCCTTCCCTAACTCAATGAAGCTCCAGGGCCAACCCCAGAATCCAGCCTGGGAACTTTACCAGATATTTGCTCATAAATATTGCCCGTGGCTACGGTTCGTCTGGCCAGAATCTGCAGCCATTGGCCTGGAGATCCTCCAGACAATAACATGGAAGTCTGGTCGAATATGAAAAGTGTCTGTTATTATCCATGAAATGCTGTGAACAGCAAAAGAAACATCACTGTCACTTTGCTCTAATCATGGCATTAACTTGCCAAAAGGTGAGGCTTTGTAAAAGGTATGCAGTGATCCTCTTCACCAACCTGTATTTAAACTGTTAGATAACTCCTCAGGTCTACATGTTGCTGTTCAAACACCTGTCATGGCTGGCGTTGATAGCAAAACAAGAAATGTGTTGTAATTGTATGTTGAGATATACTTCTTCATGTGACTTCCAGTCTGTTGTGTGATTCCATTCTCTCCAGAAGAGGGAACTTCAACACATCACTGTTGCAACCAGAAAAACAAACTATGCTCGCACAATATATTACATCACAGAGGGACGTTTGGAATCCAAGGCGGGAACACAAATGATAGACGGCTGATACAGGCTGCACTTCCTTTTGGTTGCAGAGCTATCATTTCAGCTTCTGCAAACATGCCAAATCCAAATTTAGAATAGAGAGTGCAACTCTTCCCTCTTCCAACCGCTCCAACACTTCAGAACATTTTCTGAAATCACATCTGCTCTCTGAACCTCTAGGGATGACTACAAACCCGCTGTACCACACAAGACAGATATGAGATGTCCTGTCCCCATATTTACATGCCATATGAAATCTGCAACACTGCTGAGTCTGATTATCCCCATATGGTGGGGAGGTTTTGTATCTAGTCTATATGACGAGTGATGCACCAATGAAAAGGCAGATTTTTGCCCATTTCTTTAAAATAGTTTTCTGCACGTCACCCAATTTGCAGGTGTGATGATGGGAAACACTTTTAAAAAAGGGCTGAAAAGCTCTTAATTCAAGTTATTATGAAAATGTATAATATTCTGGCACAAATGAAAACATTTTAAGAAATAGCAGCATCAGCCAAATAGTTATATAGCGTCAGTATGGCCTAAGAAATCGATGCATCCCTATACATGACAACTCTATTAGTCTTTTAGCATGCAATCTTACACAACTGGGGCTGAAGTTAAATACACAAATCTCTCACTCAGCAGCTTACAGCCTGTGAAATCAGACATATCCGGCGACGACACCACTACGTGCTCACAGGCCACAAACACAGTTGAAGGGATAATCCTCCTCTACTCACGCTGTATGTGAATAAGCTGCTTTGGCATCTTGAACTCCCCGGGGTAAAGGGAATCGTAGTGCGTGATGTTGCGCTCCGCCTCGGGGACGGGGATAACCATGTTGTCCCGCTTCTCGCCGTATACCTGCTGCGCCGAGATGGCCCGCTGGAGATGGTGCTCCTGGAGGGGGGGGGAGGAAACAGGTGTTACTGACACTGTCTGCACACTTCTTCTCCCAAATCCTTTTCGTTTATACTCGCAGAGACATGTTCACACAAGCACGGCAACGTGAGCATCTGATGTGTCAACTCGTAGACAATAACTGTTTCATAATGATCACTTCTGTGTATGGAACTGCATCTATAAATAAGAATACTGTTGTGTAATTGGAATACAAATAAAAAAGCGGCCTAATGCACATTTTTTTTATTAGTTTCCAGATGAGGAACACGAGTATACTTCAGAGAGGACTAAACCATAAAACTATCAGATATTGAAGATGACATCCTGTCCCTTTACATACTCACACTGGCAGCGCAAAGTGAACAATATATTCAACAACAAGTAGACAGAAACTGTATTTCATTAATACGCAGCAATTGGAAAAGTATTCACAGCCTACTAAAGTACCAATGCAATGATGCAGAAAAAAACCAAAAGATCACTCAAAATAATTCTGTAAATAATCACTGCCAATTAACTCTCTCTCAGAATCAGTTCTTTACATTGCAGAATATATAAATTGGTGCACCCTTACGAATTTGTTCTACATCTCTGTATTAGTCCTGAGGCATGTAATGGGAATTAAGGCCTGCACATATAAAGAGTACAAAATGTTCTGGCAATTATCCAAAAACAAAGCATTTAAAAACAAGCTGCCAGAATCACATATCTCCCCAAATCCTTTTCAATTCCTTTCACTTCATTTCCCTGGTATTTCGTATCTCTTATTTGTCAAGGCACGTCTAACCAGGAAGAGCATATTATTTGTCATAGCACATTATGCTTAGACATCTATTTTCACACACACACACACACACACACACACACACACACACACACACACACACACACACACACACACACACACACACACACACACACACACACACACACACACTAGGATTTGCAGAGTATCAGCAAGAGCATCACTGTGTCAATACACTGCGAGTACACAGTGTGTGTATTTGTACTTCAAAGTATGCGCTCTCTGGCATCTTGAGACCTGCACAGGTAGCCCTCATTTTACACCAGTGACTCATTGTTATTATTTACTGCAACTCGCAGAAGTCACAAAGTTAGTCTGAAAATAAATCTGTCCCAAAGTTTACACCGATACTGTCGCACATGGGATCATAGATTAAATATGTGCAAGTTTCTCCAGCAAACAATCTGTTGCTTTAACTAACTCTGCAGCACAGCCATGAGTCACAGCTTGACTCTTGAACTCAGCCGGCGCAGAATGTTTTATGTAAACTGAGTCACTGAATTCAAATGTGCTGCTAAGAAGAATCCAGGAACAACTTTAAATTGCATACTGTTGAAAATATGCCAGAATAACTTATAGGCTTCATTTAAAGATTACCACACCTGTTTGCTGCTGATACAGATTGCAAATGAAAGGGATGCTCCGATCGATCGGCCAATATTCACTCTCTGCCGATCGACCGTGCTCTCTATAAAGGCCGATCAGGAGAGCCGATCACATGACGTCAAATACATGACACTTTTCTCTAGGGATGTCCCGATCACCTTTTTTTGCTCTCGATCCGATTCCGATCATTTTATTTTGACAATTTGCCGATACCGATTTTTCCCGATCTGATCTTTATGCAATGCATTAAGAGAAAAAAAAGAAAAAAAGCATTCAATTTGTCCCTTAAGGTTATTTTTTTATTTAAATTGGATATTCTATACAACATGGATATAGCTTCTTTCTTTCACAGCAGCATTGGATCAGTTCAGTTGTGCAGCATTGGATCAAAACAAAATAAAGCTTTCAGTACTCGTTAGCTTACTGCTACAATTAGACACTGCGCCCTGCCCACTCTGTTGCCAGATTTGAGAGAAATAAGCAACCAGGTCTATGAAAACAAGCCCCAAAGAAGCAACACATACATGATGTTGTGTAATTTGAAACCAAAACTAAGGCCTCAGGATGACTTTAAGACTTGAACATGGTCATTTTTGTTTTGTAACATTGAATACAAAATAATAATTTAAAAAAAATGCCGATCCCCGATTTTTTTCTCCCGATTCCGATCTTTTGAAAATCACGTGATCGGCTCCGATCCCCGATCACGTGATCGGAACATCTCTACTTTTCTCCGTGCGCGGTAAAAACAAGCTCGCCAAGATGGCTTCACCGGTCTGGCAGTATTTCAATGTGTTCGAAAAAGACAGTAAAATAGCGGGATGCAACGTGTGTGAAGCAGAAACCTGCAGCTTCACCCGCTGTGAAACACACACTAAGAGTTAGACCTAACACACTTAGCTATTTGATCTACTTCTAGAACTAGCTAAACTACTTATAAATATATTTATTCTTCACTGTCGGGTCACTCATTACTGGATCAGTGAGCTGCATGAGATACTGACAGGATGTCAGGAGAGAGAGAGAGAGGGGGAGAGAGGAAAAGAGAGCTAATTTCTCCCGTGTTATTATCCAAAGTTAATGTAAACTTGAATAATGTACTTCATTTGAATGTAATCATTATGTTGGTTGTTGTTTGTGGAAGCGCCACTGAATGAGCCCCATTAACTGAGTTTTAAACATCAATTTAAATGGAAGATCCCCATAGGCCCCGCCCACTCGATCGGCCCCAAAATAGGCGATCGGAGCATCCCTAGCATGAGCCATATATTACAAGTCTCCAGCTTCATACCTTTTAATATGATTTTAATACAAGCCCTGATTAAATAAATATGTACATTAGTAGATAATATAATGCATTACAAAGGGTGTTTAGAGCTAGAGTTAGGAAGTTAAACAAGTCGTAGTTTCCTCTCTTATATCCATTTAATATTGCTGTTGAAACATCAATTAGTATTTAAAATGATTGCCAAATACAACATTTCCGAGACTACATTATTGAACTTCTCTAATTCTTGTTTTTACCGTGTAGATTTTAAACACATCATATTGTTTGTTTTTGGAGAAATCAAGGCATTCTTTATAATATTGAATGACTAGAATATAAGTGGAGAACTACTTTATTTATAACATCTGCGTCTAATACATTTCAGCTTTTATTCTTCCTGTCTTTTCAGGCCTTCTCTTATCAGCTAATGCAACAGATGGCAGATCCAGTCAAACAAACTAATATCTCTCTTGCTCTAACAAGTATTTTAACAGGGCTCCTACTCATTTTACACATTACCAATTTACTTTCACAGCCAGAGTTTCTTGGTTGGATTTGGAGATATGGGTCAATGACATACCAAGTGCGGCTGGCAAATACTACCATCAACGAAGCCACGTCTGTGCATGGCTAATTTCCATTAGCCATTGAATTTTAGACACTTGCGTGGGAGTTTTGAGTGTTCGAGACCTTAAGTGTAATCCGAAGCCATGAGGAGCTCTGCATGGAGTAACAGGAGAACCATATCAGAGCCGAGAGCTGCCATGAAAGGACACAGCATGCGTCCAAACTCAACCATCTGCCCCTGGTAAGATTAACAACACTTTCTCTACAACCAATACACAAAGAAAACAGCTTATTGCGTTAGCCACACTATTGTTAGCGTAACCTCGGGACCAAAGGGTATGGCACCAAGTAAACCATCACCCACTGTCTTCTTGTAAGTGGGTCTAAATGAGTTTAGGATACAACCCACAAATTACAATCTATTCACAAATTATTGGGTATTTCTGTCACGATGGTTAGCTGGCATGCTACGAATGAATTTGGCATGTTTACACACCCAAATCACAGGTTTCAGATCAAAAGAAACGCTGTGTTTGGCTTTGTTGCAGTGTGCGCAGAGAGTCCAGCCAAGCTTGTTGGAACTTTTGCACATTCTTGTTCACTGCACACAAAAACACAACCACATGCAAGTAGTCAACAGTTTTATGTGATCCTACATTTAAAAACCCTTAGCCTACAAATGCTGGGCTTCTTCATCTTCAGATCTCGGCAAGGTTTAACAATAAAATAAAACACATTTCAATTGGAAAAATCTCTTAACAAAAGGTTGGAATGTTACAGCATTCACACAATTCCCTCAGCTCTTTCTTCAATATCAGTTTGAAAGCTGTGAACTCAGGAAAATCAATTTCATTTGGAGAATACTGCAAGCCCTAACCTATTATTACAAAGCTAAAGCCATAGTAAATATACAGCCAAAGTGTTTTGAATTGGACACACACTTAAATTACACTTTTTAATGACATGTATGTGTTGAAATTGAAACACTGATTATTTAAGAAAAGATGGAAAGCATAATATTAACTCTGGTTAAGCTTAATCACATTGTGTAATAGGGTAAGGGTGGAATACATGAGATAGAACCATTCACACTTCGATTCACACTTACTCAAGACTACAGAGGAAACCACAATATCCAGCGGGAACTCACCATATCTTTAACGTCTAAATGTGAAATATGTTGCTTCTAAAAACACCCCTAAATATTGTATGCACCATCTGGCACACACAAGGACAGACTACAGATGAATCAAAGAGTTGTCGGCAGATATGACATGACCTTATGTAAACTTTTTTGAACTGATGCTTAACCAACACGGCGCAGGGTTTGCTCTCTTGTTGCTTGTCAAAGACATCCTCTAAAAGTCACCCTCTGTGCATCCCACCGTCTGACACGACGATGAACTCTGAGCATGGCAAGGTTAAGGAACATGCATACAAGAGTGAGCGCAAGGAACCAATTAAACCTGAGCCTGGCCCAGACTGGCCTTTGCAAGCGTCTGCAGAGGATATATGCTCGGCACATTTCAGCAAGCTACAGTGAGCTGCCTCAGATATAAAGATATCCTGATCTTTGGCAGCTGTGATCCTCGCGACCGCGGTTCACAGCCTGGGATTTCCTCTGTTGAGGAATTGTGTGAGAAAGGATAGAGGGCTTTGGAGAATGGCACATGGGGACGAGTATACTACGATATCCTAAGACCTTGTGCAACTGCCTGTTTCAATCCATTTATAGTGAACATGTCACTCCTCAATAATGTTTCTGAACAGATTTCTAGAAGTGTGTTCACACTGAAACAATTATGTTCATTATTCACACAAATAAAAAATAGGTAAGAAAGGGTTCCTACAGTTTAAGGCAAGTTACTATTTAAGACTTTTTAAAGAATGAATGCCACTTAATGAATATAAAAAAGAGAAACGACCCCAGTTACCTAGAGTTTAGAACCATTTCACTAAGTTGTTTGATGATCAGTCTTTTCGCCATAACGTTGTTAGCGAGCAGACAGTTGATGGGTTTTCTATCCTTTACTGAGTGACATTAACGAGGGTAATTTGGATAATTATTTTAAAAGATGATATCTCTGGGGAAAACAACCAGTCAGAATCCTAATTAACATTTTAAAGACTTTTGAGAGACATTTTATTGCAAATTGAGGCTATATTTTGAATTAATTCAATGCGTTTTGGGACTTTTTCAAAGAGCCACTGGAACCCTGCAAGAGTACAAGAACACCTACAGAAAAAAACACAACCGAATGATAATGCTGGCTGCCAACGGACGCATTGTGCACAAATGCTAAAACCCCATATAGAAAAATCGCAAACCGCTCTGCCTTTTACTCCAGAAAATAACCTAATATCGAACCTCTGATTGTCCTGTTATTTCCTCACAAAATGAGCTCTCACTGTGGAGCTGCTTTCTGTCAGGGCCACAGATGCAGGTAGCAGAGAAACACAAATGAAAATCTATTTTTCACAATACCACACGCTACTTCCATTAAATGTTTTCGAGAAAAAAAGATGACTCCAACAAAAGTTGCCATGGAAACAAAAGTGTGGCCTCCAGCAGGTGTTTTCAGCTCACGCCGACCAGAGGAAGTCTTGTGGAAGGCAATTTGCTCAGTCAGTCAAGGCAGATCTAAAATCCACCGAGCAGATGCAATGAGACAAGCGGGGAGCGAGAAAACCAACAATCCTAAACCTTGAGACAAATTAAAGGATATTATTGACTTCTGAAGCTCAAAGTAGAATCAGCGTTTCACTTAATAAACTACAATTCAAACGTTTCAATTCAACTCATGTTTTCATCGCAACTTCTTAATTTAAGTACTATAGAATGAATGTATAGATTAAGCCACACATATAATGAAACGTATACCTCATCGCAAAAGATGGCCTGTGCATATCTGAAGTAGAGTTCATCTTGTTCTGCTTGCTTCTTCAACATCAGACTTTACTGCGACAGCCATTGTCCTACTGACCCTTGTGATACCTGACGAGATACATCTGCTCCTCTGATCAGCACTCAACGAATCACTACATATTATCCAACCATCAGTGCAAATGTAACAATCACAGACTCCCTGATTAGGTATTGGCACAAAATGTTCCTGTTTGCCACAGTCTTGGTGAATAAATGTACTAGCTGTGCTTCTACAAACAGCAAACTAGCACTGAAATACAAAGCCTTACATATACTCTGATGCATGTTGAAAGCCACAGTGGAGCACAGCAGGTGAATTATTGTATGCTGTGCAGGACATTGTGCATGCACAGATTAACAGTGAATGAAGTGCCATATTTCTAATTCATTTGCAACCACTGATGGCACACAAAATGTCCTTTAGAGGTTAATTATTTCTGTCAGGTTTGCCATCATGAATGCTGATGAGGCAGGCATACAAAAGATAACTCAATCAGAAAAGAAAAGATACACTGGCTTCCGATCTATTATTTATATTGAGGCTGCACAATGATTCCTAATGTAATCAAAAAAAGAAATATGGACTTGTGCAATATTCAAATGAAAGGAAGCACAATATTTGTTCATGTCAAAATATGTGTTCAAATATAATTTGAGATTTAGTATTGTAAAGATGCAGAGATAATCAAGCCTACGTTTACTATTGGCTTTAAAAAAAAAAAACTTCTTTGGTACAAATTCTCTTAAAAAGTCACATCATATGCATTTTTAATAACGGGAATAATGATGCAAAAACAATCAATTTCCCCCAATATCGTGAATCAGGTTATAATTGTAATTCAGTCAAAAATGATCACAATGTGATTTTTTTGCAGCTCTAATGTCCATGAACAAACTGTATATTCCCCAAATAGAACTAGTAGATTCCAAAAATATATTTCTTCCATTTACTTGTCAATGCATGTACTTGAAAATTCCCTCTGCATGCTTCTTAAATAGACATAAAGTTGAGGTTAGCGTGTGGTCACTCAGCAGAGCGAGACATTGTTGCTGGACAGGATGTGGGTCAGGGAGCCGAGCCATGCGGAGCCTTGTAGTAAAACTGTCCTCTTTATCTCTGCCGTCACACTGTTATGTAATGCCACTGTGTGTATGTGTACAGTAGTGGGGGGGAGGAGGATTTCTGCTGACTTTGCAAGCCCCTGTATGTGCTTTCCTAGTGTTTGTCCCAACGGCTCTCCTGATTATAAGGTGACAGAAAAATCTGGCATATCGGCACCAGGAGTAGTAATAAACACCTGCTATTACACTGCCAATTTATACTTTCTCCAGCACCAGCAATATTAACTACCTATTAACTGACAACAACATACACTTGTCAATAATTTAACAAATGTAAGCAGTTAAAGTGAAAAATTTAGACGTGGAGGGCTAGCATTTCTGCAGTAGGTGAATTGAATGGAGTGACCCCATTTGACTTTCAATGCATTTTGAATGGCTAAATCTGGGCTATACTCCAATCTGACAAGCTGTGCTTCAATGGGTCATATCTTTATGGCTTTGCATAATCTGTCTATAGCCACAATGTAAATAATTTCTATATTTAAACGCGAGTTGAATGTGAATAATGTGTACTACCAACCTATTACACAACAGAGGGAACTAAAGTAGGGTTAGGTAGTACACACCAGACTCCACAAACTAAGAAAAATATTTAAGACAAGCGCTATATATGATCATAAAAAGACCTGAGTTTAAGTAAAGGATCCAGAACGTTACATACAGCCTGAGAATTACCTGAACTATCTAGGATGCTATAGTACACAAGCTTAAAACAAACATAACCTTAAAAAAAAGAAACACTATACAACTACAGGCCTTATCAAGGCTTCCAGAGTTGTTACTTAAAGTCAGAGTTATATAGAATATTCTACATGTAACTCTTAAACGTTTTACAGAATTATGTCACAAATTAATCCCCTATACTCAAAATAGTCTTCGAACAAAACTGAAGGAAACCAGCCTGGTTTTGGCCAATTTGGTGGCCATTCTCACTTCTCATTAATTAAAAAAAAAAAACATTATCCAAGTAGAAAAACATGCAACACAATGTTCTTGGTGCACAGGAGCTAAGCAACTGCAATGAGGGTTTCTTCCTTAATAAAAAGCCCTTATCAAGTTTATATTTTAACTACATGAGCAATTTTTATAATTTAAGCCACAAATATTTGTACACTGATTGCAAAATGATTTATTTTACATCTGAGTTTAAAAAAAGGCATGCTTTTCTAAATGTCAAAATCAGCAACTATTACTGAAACAACACGCTAATGTCAGAGACACTTTGTTAGTTTCTCTTCTCTCATTCCTACACTGCATCATAAGACTTGAAATATAGCTGAAGCACTCAGACTGCTGTCATTGTGTGCAACGAGAACATGAATCCGCCTGTAGTCTAACACTATCATAGCCATACCATGCATGTCTTAACACATTATGCTCCCACAACACTGTGCAATCCTGCAGGTGTGTATTATGATTAAATAGAAGGCAGGATCTGCAAAATGTCTCCGCCAAACTGGCGACTGCATGCGCGGGCAGTGTGCAGCACACATGGCGGAGCAGGAGCTGTCAACACGCAACACTTAGCTGTCAAACCGGGCCGGGGCTCAGTGTCTCCCCCTGGCATTGGTGCACGGAAATCACACCATAACCAAGGCCTATCCCCGCCTGCCTTTACTGAGGAGAAAGTCAACAAAATGGTGGAGCAGAGACACATCACGTGACTTCTTTGTGCTTTCGGGTGCAATTTCAAGTGAAACAACCGCACACAACACGACTCACGAATACAAAACCAAATCTGTGCAGCATTATAATAACACATGTGGTGGAACGGGCGGATAATAATGAAGATTCATCGAGATCCGTCGTGTGCACGAAAGAGCAGACATGGCGGCCATTTTGCACAGCCTTGCGCAGGCAGCATAGTGGCGCCTCTCGATGTGAAAATACCGCCAAACCGATCCACCGCCAGTCGGGCAGTAATAGAAAAACATACCGATTCCTCCTCTTTCTCCATCCCTGTCGGCATCTGCGGCACTGCCCGGTTGATGGAGGCATATTCATGCAGGTCCGGCAAATCCTCGCAGCGGAAAACGGGCAGAGGCTTACTAGCATCCAGCGCCCGAGCCCGAAACGACAATTTACTCATTTTTATATTAAAAGATGCAGCATAAATCTATTGGATCTGCTCGGAATAACAGCAGGTATGCCTCGAGTTCTCATGGATGAATCTGTGGGAGTCAGCCAGTCAATTGAGCGTGGTTAGGGTCCGTAGCTGCGCGAACAGAGCCGGGAAGGCCCGGGTCTCGGTCGCTCTCTGTCGGTCTCTTTTCTCGCAGGCTCCGCTGATCCTCCCCGGTTCAATACGCCATGGCCAACATGGCGGACATTACAAACTCATGCAGCTCTCCGCTCGCTGCAAGCGGCCCAACCCCCTCGATCACGCAAACAGCCATTCCCACGCAGTTTTACACGCGTGCGCGTTCGTGAGACCCTTGGGGTACGGTGGAGGAGGGGGGGTGTAGTGAGGGTGGGGGCTGGATGGATGCTGATGAAGGATGTGAACTTCCCAGGTTTATTCTGTGCTGACGTACCAGATCATATTTATTCTCTGATGAAAAAACGTGGCAATTATAAAATAAATAAAAAAACACAGCAGTGTGTAGCGCCATGGCAATAAAATAAATATATTTATGGGTCAACCATCACAGGTTATGAGTGTTTTTAAACCTTGCAAAGACATATCATATAATGTATGTCGTGTGTTAACATTAATGTTCAAACACAAATAGGACACGTTCCGCATGTCCGATACAACTGTTTTGCAAACAGTGCCACCCTGTGGTACAAACAAACCATACTACTATCCTGCACTCATGTGAACAGCATCTGATTGATTTTTTTTGGAAATGCACAGGACATAAAAACAGTGCCTAGAAGTGGGGAATTATTGCCTTCCTCACAACTTTGCAGTCATTGTTGTTTTCAATATTTTTCACTCATTAAGGATTGTGTTTAATCACATACTATGCCGAAAGGGCGGTTTATACCAATTTAGTTTATGTAATTTTAGTTGAGGATAAATTATTTATTTTGGCTATTATTTTAATTCTTTTTTGTAGTATTGGAGAGCAGTGCTTGTTGCAAACTGAAATATGGCATATATGGCAAGAAATTGTTAAAGTTAAGATGGCAAAAGCTAGAGTGTTTTCCATGCTGCTATAATATAGCAATATGGAAATGTACTTGTTCTTTTAACAGAACAAGAACAGCTAACCTGTTATTCATGACTTTTTGACAATGCAGACAAAAAAAAATATGCTGTGGTGTTGTAATGTTTCCCAAAAAAACAAGAGCATGATAGCTGTAAGCCTTATCAAGCTATATAAATCCAAACACAGGCAACATTGTTTAATTTGTCAAAAATCAACAAGTGTTGCTTCCTCTTCTTGTTCGTAGCTGTGGAAACATGCACGGTATTCTGCTGCTGGAGCCCGAACACTTCCAGGATGGAGAATCTGTGCATCTCAACAGGTCCTTCTGATAAGACATGCCTTTTTCTTTATCCGCCAATTGCTTTTGACAAAGTGGCATTTTCACAATGTTATTGCAACTATAAAAACTGCAAATCAATGTCTCTGATACCTCACCAATCACAGGGCTCAACAACATTCAAGGCTAATCATTTCTGTAATGCTGAATGTGTTCGGCACAAATAATCCAACTGTTATCAAATCAAGGGCTTTGAAACATCCAAGCACAAGGGTAAAGGCAGTTATGTTTTGGAAGGAACTTTTTGGTAAAGGATGACATTTTTTTTATTTTCAGCATCTTTCTGTTTTCCCTTTTGAACTAAAAACATACCAATCCTTAACATAAAAAACGAGGTACACACTTAGCCCTGAATTTTATGTAAAGTTAAACTGCTAGTGTAGTGTTTGTTTGATCTAAATGTGGCCCAAAAGAGTGACTTACAAAAGAAAGGTTACCCATTGTATGATACTCAACACTTGTGAAACAGGTATACATTTGCATTATATGTTTCAGTGTTTTCAGTGTTATTACAATTATAAAGTTTATAGTCAGGGGTGCACATCACTTTTTTTGTGAGTTACTCAGATGAGTACCAGGAAACAGCGTTTGGTACTCACCCCACACGAAGCGTGGTCCTCCTCAGTGTCGCATTCACTGTCCTCTATTTACACTTCTTGCATGCTAGATGATGAAGATGATGAAGATGCACCTCCCTGTCTCTTTTTAAGCCTCCGATTTGCTTTCTCCAAAACTTGTTGCCAAAACTGTGAAGTCCTTGCATTTCCTGAGGCCAAGTTGAAGGATCAAATACTAAGAAATTATCACATGACTTGAAGTCATATCTGATTTCAGATGTGGGAAGTTACTAAGTACACTTATTCAAGTACTGTACTTAAGTAACATTTTGAGATATTTGTACTTTACTTTGATGCTACTTTGTACTTCTACTCCACTACAGTTCAGAGGTAAATACCTTTAGTTACTTTACAGATGTGGATGAATGATGTGAAATATAATCAAGTCTTAAATCAGACTTTAGGTCCACCTGGAGTAAATTCACAAGCTACCCTGCAGTATACAAAGTCATTACAACTAGCTGCATCTCTACCAGCTGTAATAACACTTTAATGATCAATCATTATAAAACATATATGTATTATTCTGAAATGGACCAATCTACTTTTACTTTAACTATATTTTGATAATACTTTTCCAATTTGACTAACGTAACATTTTGAATGCAGGACTTTTACTGTAACAGACTATTCCTACACAAGATCTGAGTACTTCTTCCACCTCTGTCGTATTTCAAACTCTTCCATTAACACCCTGAGTAAGTTTGCAAGTGTGTGTTTTACTCCACTTTGTTGTAAATAAAACTGCAGCAGCTTGACCACAGAGCGTGACGTAGCGTCCACACGGCGGCATGCGTTGAAGATTGCCGGTGGGCGTGTCTGAAACTTGACCAACAACCAATCACATGAATCTCCCGCCCCGGACACACAAGCAAGCGGTTTGATTGGCTCAATTCTGTTGTTCATACCGACGTTAACCTTGTCTGTGCAACACGGTGAACACTCTTGTCGCCCAGTGGTATAAGCACTCTGCCTCCTGCTAAAGCTTCACAGGTCCGTCGGTTATGTCCTGCGCGGCTCGCCCAGCTCCAGTTCAATCAGTCATAGAAATTGCGAAGATCTTTTGCAGGGAGCGAAACGGCAACGTAGCTGCCTAATGTCTTTGTTTTTTTTTACATGTCTAGTAGTTTACTCCATTGAGTGTTTACAAGAAACACGTGTAGACGAAATGTGTGTATTGTTTTTTATGTTTTGAGGTACGCAAAGGCGCGTAGTGACACAAGTGACGTTACGCAATTCAGATTTGTGCCGCACATGCGTACCAGTTATGTGCACCCCTGTTTATAGTGCAAGAATCAATAGGGAAATCTTAAAACATGTTAAAGTTACTAAATCAACTTCCTCCTTGCCCTTCAAGAATATGCCTCAATAAAGATGTCTCAAAGTAAAATCTCTGAATTCTGTGCTCATCTATAAACATAGAATGTTTGCTGCATATGATGCAAGACAGCTCAACCACTCTAGAGGGAAATAAACTCATATGCATCCTTACTACACCTCTGTGGGTACAGTAGTCTGACACTAAAACACATGTTTAACACCAGGTGGACAGTCAAAAATACAAATTATCTGCATATGCAACACTGAGAAATAAAAAAAGATTCTGCAGACATTTTTAACGTGGGGCCTAATCTTAGCTACCTGACCTTTACATGTTATAGTCATATCACAACAGAGAGAGAAATAATAAAAATGCAAATAACCTGCAGGGATGGCCGAGAATGCCTGGGGGAGTGAGTGACTGATACCGATGTGGGAGGCTGACATGGTAATCATCATCCATTTGGGAGCAATAGGCTCACAGCTGCAGACCATGATGGAGACCTGTGAAACAGACATTTGCAAGAAGGACAGAATTAATATAGAACACATCATAAACAGTGTCTATCAAAATGCATGGTTAATATGATTTATTAGGCACAGTGCCTCACCAATTTGTTGTTTTCTTCTCTGTTGGGCATTATAATTAAACTGAAATATGTGGGATCACTGGAAAAAAAAAAATATGGAGCAAGATTTGATCTACAATACACACCAACACTAGTTCACACTTGCAATTTTTTCAATGCATGATTTTTTTCTGGGATGCATTAGCTTTTTAATAAATGCTGAACAAGTATTGCCACATAACATTAGTGCAACCCTTTTATGGAAGAGTAAAGGGGTAAATATAACAGCACACGACAGAAAAAGAGAAATAGTCTTAACAAATGTAGACGACAAACATGCACCGATACGAAGCCGATTACAAGGCAGCTTTTAACGGGTTTGTAATCGCTTCGAGCCCAAAGATCAGACACAGCTGTGTTTGCACAACCGAGGCTAGCTGATGCTAACGATATCCTAGCACAGTTCCCCTGACCCTGCGCCATTTACCAGCCAGCTAACAGGCTGCCAACAGTTTGATTTCAACTCGTAACTTACTTGTCCGCAATTAAAATCCGTCACTTTCATTTTCCTCGGGGAAAAGAGGGATAAAACTACCTTGAGCCAGAGTTTTAACTTACCTGCTGCTAGCAACGCCACAGGGGAGGATGATGATGATGGCAGTTCTTCTTATGGTTGTCATGCTAGCCCAATGCTAACGCTGGTTAGCTCCCTTCAGGACGCCTCAGAGGAAATAAAAAATGATAAATCCTTTAAAAAAGTCGCGCTAACACACCGTGAGAGGTCGCTGGGAATAAGAAGCCAAAACAGAGGAAGTGTTATCCTGTCTCTGACGGTAAACTTTGATAGTTTCCTAAGGTTACTTCGACAACAAAAAAAAAAAGAAAAAACATCCAAACTGACCACCAAGCCACTTTGCAGGCGGAGTGTGATTGGAGGGTGCACGCCACCAATCACCTGTGGAGAGCTCACTGTTCCCCCCGCCCACTCACTAATAAGAATGTATTTCATTAAATGTTTTGGTTTAAGAAATGCATTGTAGTAAGTACAAAAGCAACAAATAACAACATAGCCTTAAATAAAAAAATAAAAATTCATCCTCTGACTGAGTATTACTCCTTTATTTAGGCCATTAACAGATGATGCTACAGTGATTTTTCAGCATGGTTGCAGTATTTGTTATGTAACTGTCTCCGGGGCTGGTCACCTCCCTCCAACCCCATCCTCCCCACCCCCCATCTCTGCCCCTTCACATGCAGGGCAATGCCGCCTCCTCTGTGATATTTGCACGCCACATCTTTTATGATGACACAGCTGCATAGTGGAAGCGGAGTCGTTTTCTCTGATGCTCCACCAGCACCAACAGCAGCACCACCTCCCACTAGCTGCTAAAGCTGCATGCATGCTTGCCCTGTGACTCTTGGATTGGAGGAGGTGTGGCTATGATTAATATC